CTAGAGCTTCACAACAACTACTACTACTACGACATTAACAACAACTACTACTACAGCTACAACAACAACAACTACTACTAGAGCCTCAACAACAACTACTACAACTACAGCCACAACAACAACTACTACTACTACAACAGCCACAACAACAACAACTACTACAGTCACAACAACAACAACTATTACTACTAGAGCCTCAACAACAACTACCACTACTACAACATTAACAACAACTACTACTACAGCTACAACAACAACAACTACTACTAGAGCCTCAACAACAACTACTACAACTACAGCCACAACAACAACTACTACTACTACAACAGCCACAACAACAACAACTACTACAGTCACAACAACAACAACTATTACTACTAGAGCCTCAACAACAACTACCACTACTACAGCTACAACTGCATCTACAAAAACAACTATTTTTACACCTTCTACAACAACAAAAACTTCTACTACTACAATGACAATTACAACTACTAGCACTACCACAACAACTACTACTACTACAACGACAACAACTACAACAGCATCTACTACTACTACAACTACTACTATAACGACAACCATAACAACGACAACGACAACAACTACTACTACTACAGCCACAACAACTACTACTACTACAACAGCCACAAAAACAATAACTACTACTACAACATTAACAACAACAACAACTACTACTACTACAACTACTACTACAACAGCATCTACTACTATTACTACTACTACTACTACTACTACTACTACTACTACTACTACTACTACTACTACTACTACTACTACTAGAGCTTCAACAGCCTCTTCAACAACAACTACTTTTACACCATCTATAACAACAAAAACTACTACTGCTACAACGAAAACTACTACAACTACTACTACAACTACAAGGACTGTTACCACAATCACTGCTACGACTACTACAACAACAACTATAACTACAATGACTACTATTACGACACCTTCTACAACTAAAGCAACTATTATCAAAACAGAACCTACAACAACCTCAACTAGTACTACTAAAACAGCCTCTACAACAACAACTACTACTACTACTGATACTACTACTACTACTACAACTACTACTACTACAACTTCTACTACTACTACTACTACTACTACGACTGCAGGTACAACTATTACTACAGCTATGACTACTTCAACAACTACAACGACTGTTTTATCAACTGAAACAACTACTACAACAGCTTCTACAACCACTACTACTACTACTACAACAGTATCTACAACAACTACTACTACTTCGACTACAACAACCGCAACAACTACTACTACGACTACAACAGTATCTACAACAACTACTACTACTTCGACTACAACAACCGCAACAACTACTACTACGACTACAACAACCGTAACAACTGCTACTACATCTGCTTCAGGAACGACGATCGCAACTACAACAACCACTCCTACTACTTTTAAAACATCAGTGATATCAGTCTATCGCTCGACAACTCACGAGCAAAATTTGTTCCATTCATCCCAGCATTCAAAGTGGCTTCATATAACTGGCTCTTATAAGAACGGTAAGGACGTTAAATTATGAATAATATAATAATTATAATTATAATAATAATAATTATTATTATTATTATTATTATTATTATTATTATTATTTTGATGACGACGATGACGACAACGAAACTAAAAAAAAATAATTTGTTTAAAATTGTTTTTTTTTCAAACATTCAAAGAGGACTACGTCACTAATCAATATAGCGGTAATATTATTGTTAATAATAATAATTTTAATGTTGTTGCTGTTGTTGTTGCTGTTGTTACTCTTGTTGTTGTTGTTGTTGTTAATGCTATTTTTATGATCGTTCTTAATAGTAGTAGTAGTAGTAGTAGTAATAGTAGTAGTAGTAGTAGTAGTAGTTGTAGTAGTATTAGTAGTAGTAGTAGTAGTAGTAGCAGCAGTAGTAGTAGTAGTAGTAGTAGTAGTAGTAGTAGTAGTAGTTGTAGTAACAGTTACTATTGTCGTCTATATTTGTATTGAAATTTTTTTTATTTATGCAGCTAGCACGTTCATGACGATTTCAGGATTGCCAAAAAGTATTTTCTTTTACAAGTTTCTATCTGTGTGTGCGTGTGTGTGCGTGCGTGTGTGTGTGCGTGTGTGTATGTGCGTGAGTGTGTGTGTGTGTGTGTGTGCGTGAGTGTGTGTGTGTGCGTGTGTGAGTGTTTTGCGAATCATAGTTGACATTGTTAATGGAGAGGAATTCAAATTAATGTAAGCATTTAAAAATCATTTCTGATCTCATCCTAAAATAACCTAACCTTCGCAACAGAGCCTAACCAAAGTAAGCTTTTTTAAACTTTTTATCAAATTTTTTTATCAATTTCTAACATTTTTTGTCAAAATTTAACCAAAATGTCGTAAAATTAGACCGAGATTCACCCAAATTTCAATAAGTTTTATCGAGATTTCACAAAACATTCACTTAGTTTTATTAAATCATATCAAAGTTTATGAAAATGTATCCGAATGATATCAAAATTTACAAAAATTTAATAAATTTTCGCATAGTTTTACAAAACTTTCATCGATTTCTAGCACAAATTTCACTTAATTTGATCAAATTGTATTACATTTCACAAAAACTTCAACAAAATAAAATTTACAAAATTTTCGCCAAATTCTCTTCCCCAAAGTTCCTTCCAAGGAACCATGGTGGTACATGGATCTTGCGGATTATTACGAAGTTATATACGTCAAACTTTTTGCGTCTGAATTTGTTAACGGTTAGAAATTTTTTGAAAAACTAATTTACTTTTTAAAAATTTTGCAATTATGTATCTAATTAACTTAAATATTTTATCTTAGTAAATTTTTGTTGTTGTTGTTGTTGTTGTTGCTGTTGTTGTTGTTTTTGTTGTTGTTGTTGTTGTTGTTGCTAGATTAAAAACAAATTGCAACATTCTACAGTTGGAAAATTACTTTCATTGATACAGTAAATGACTTACAAACATGCATGACAGATGTGGGAACCTCTTTACATGCAAACTAAAACCTCACAACCGAACATTTAACCATCACGCTGACTTTCCTCCTATACAAAATACTTCTACTACTACGATACTAACACAAAAATACTATCGATACAATTGCAGTTACGACCCAGATGGTGAACTTCAAAATCTTTGTAAGTCCGACAATGATTAGCACAGAGAAAGATTTGCAAGTACTTAGCGATCAACTCTGCTACTACTATACCGAAAAAGAGAAAAGATTTAGTCCGGGAGAGATGAGAATTTTTAGATGCTTCAACTGTCAGACTCTTGGAAGGTTGGAAGTATTATGATGTTGATGGGGTTTCTGGGTATGGTAGAGAAAGATTGTTTGTGGTGAATGCGTTGGGTATTTTCAAAAAGTTAAAAGGTCATTCTCTCTTCAGTATTATCATATCATATTTGCCAAAGTAACGCGCTGATGATTGTGTTGTGTTTAAGGAATTTGATGAGAAAGATCTAGAAGCTGATGGGGACGATGGCTAGAGTGATGATAAATGGTGGCGCTATAATAATGATAACGATAACTTTGGTGATAACACTGATGATGACGTCATAATGATGAAAATTAGATACCTGGTAATCTACAAGGTCAACAAAATGTTCAACATGAACTGGCTGCACAAACTGGAGGCCGTTGTGTTCGATCCTGAAACCGAATCTCCGAGTGAGAATACTAATTTAAATCCACTTTTAATCACTCTTTTACTATCCTCTTTTCGGTTTTTAGCAGAAACACCGAAAACGCGAACTAAAATCTAACTTTATAACACCCACACCAAATTTTTAACACTCAAAAAATAGTTCAGCAGCAAGTCTACAGTACAATGATTGACATTAGCAAAAGCGCCGCCTACTCTGTGGACCCCTTCTTGGGGGTGGACGAAGATAGATCGACTTATATCATCGCCGGACTAGTTGAAAATTTTGGAGTGAAGTTCTCGTGGTATTCCGTCAATTTTGAAAAATCTCTTCATCTCTTTAGGGTCGTCATTACAAACACAAGAGAAGACAGTTAGTGTGTGCGTGTGTGTGCCTGTGTGATATTAATTCATTATAATTAATTATTGAATTAATTATTTTACTATTTTTTCCAAAAAAAGTCGGAAAAAACTTGAAGAATTTCACGGTAAGTATGACAGAGTCACACAAGCTGAATGTATGCTCCCTGGATCTCTGCCACCATTACAAGGTATTCTTAACTCGTTCGTAATTTTTTTATAACGACAAACACAACTTTCTGTTCTTTGTTTATTTACAATGAATCAAAATTATGAACAAACCATATAAACTTATTGTTATTTTTTCTCTTCTTCTTTTTCTTCTTCTTCTTCTTCTCTTCTTCTCCTTTTTCTTATTATTATTAGCATTAGTGGTAGTAGTAGTAGTAGTAGTAATAGTAGTATTTGTGTATGACGTCAGGATGAAATAGGGCTGGGCGTGACAAAATCACTCGACTGCACACCCGGGCCAGTGATGGGCCAGTACTTACTAATTGAGCGGATGTTTGGCGAGTTGGTATTCGCCGAGATTCAAGTATTTGCCCGAAACCTCGTCATTAAAAGTAAGCGCTGTATTTGTTTTTGTTTGCAATATCTTCTTAGGCCATAAATTTTTAATTCAAATTATGATAAGATATTTTTGGTTTTGAACTCTAGAATTTTGGAAAAATAATTTTGTTTTTTTCATATCAATCTATCAACCGATCAATCAACCGATCAATCAACCGATCAATCAACCGATCAATCAACCGATCAATCAATCAATCAATCAATCAATCAATCAATCAATCAATCAATCAATCAATCAATCAATCAATCAATCAATCAATTAAACAATCAATCGATCAATTAATTAACCAATCAATCAATCAATTAACCAATCAATCGATCAATCAATTAACCAATCAATCGATCAATCGATCAATAAATTAACCAATCAACTAACCGATCAATCCTTCAATCAACATATTAATCAATCAACATATCAACCAATCAACATATCAATCAATCAACCAATTAAAAACTTTGTCATTTTAGGTTACAACTTTAACAGGAAAGCTCTCCACTCAAAATGCATGGACGCTTTCATGTCAGCAAAGGTATTATTATTATATTATTATTATTTATTAATATTATTGTTATTATTAATATTGATATTAATATTATTATTATTATTATTTCGTTATTTTTCTTTCCAAGGGTCGGCGAATAAAGGTAGGATGCGACTTGAAAAAGTTACAAGACGCCCAACAGTAATAATAATAATAATAATTATAATTATTATTATTATTATTATAAATATAATTACGAATATAATTATAATAATATATAAAAATGTGATGATGATGGTGGTGCTAAAAGACTGTTATACGCGAAACAAAAAAATATTATTGGGTTTAGGCTATATTAGCTGGTTTTATTGAGTTTATGATTTGCCATTCATTCATTCATTCATTCATTCATTCATTCATTCATTCATTCATTCATTCATTCATTCATTCATTCATTCATTCATTCATTCATTCATTCATTCATTCATTCATTCATTCATTCATTCATTCATTCATTCATTCATTCATTCATTCATTCATTCATTCATTCATTCATTCATTCGTTCGTTCATTCATTTATTAATTCATTCATTCATTCGTTCATTCATTTGTTCGTTCATTCATTCGTTCATTCATTCATTCATTCGTTCGTTCGTTCGTTCGTTTTGTTCAAACTAGTCGTTCAGTTTTTTTTCAAAATAAAATTGAATCCATAAATGGTAAATGGCATAAGATAGACTGCATGCAAAAAAGAATTAAACAAATATGTCTGTTTATTTGTGTGGTGTGTGTGGTGTGTGTGTGTGGTGTGTCCGTGTGTGGTGTGTGCGTGTGTGGTGTGTGTGCGTGTGTGTGTGAAAAAGTTTGTTGGCATTTCGACGTCTTTCTGTTAGCTTAAGAAAAAATTAGGAAGTTAGGAAGTTAGTTGAGATGCAAAGATAACAAAAATCAATCGGTGATCAATCGATCAACCAGTCAATCATACAATCAACCAAACAACCACACAACCAATCAATCATACATTCAACCAATCACACGATCCAATCAATCAACCAATCATACAATCAACCAATCACACAATCAATCAGCCAATCAATCGAAAATAATAATAATTATTATTGTTGTTGTTGTTGTTAACATCGTTTAAAAATCTCTCATACAGTTCGTAAATCACGGAATAATGAATAGCAACAATTATAACAATGAAAATAATAATAAGAAGAAGAAGAAGAAGAACAATAATCCAATTTTTCTTTACTAGCTTTTGAAAATTTGTTTTGACACGTCGTTGCGTAGAGAAATGCTTAAAAAATGCCATAAATTTGATTACACGAGATGAAGTTTAGGAATAAAAATTGTGTGTGTGTACGTATTTGTGTGTGTGCGTGTGTGTGTTTGGTTGTAAGTGTTTGTGTGTTTGTTTGTAAGTGTTTGTGTGTATGTGTGTGTTTGTGTGTATGCGTGTGTGTGTTGTCCTTTTTAAAAAATTGCGTGTCAAAAATTTAGAAGGAGAGATTAATAATCTAGCCATTCATTCAATCAATCAATTGAGCAATCGATCAATCAATCGATCACTCCTTCCTTCATTCGTTTGTTCATTCATTCGTTTAATCAATTAGTCTGCCAATCAATCAGCCAATCAATCAACCAATCAATCAACCAACCAACCAATCAGCCAACCAATCAATCAACCAATCAATCAACCAACCAACCAATCAGCCAACCAATCAATCAACCAATCAATCAACCAACCAACCAATCAGCCAACCAATCAATCAACCAATCAATCAACCAACCAACCAATCAGCCAACCAATCAATCAACCAATCAATCAACCAACCAACCAATCAGCCAACCAATCAATCAACCAATCAATCAATCAACCAACCAATCAGCCAATCAATCAACCAACCAATCAGCCAGTTTCTCACATCACTCGACGTTCTTAAATTCAAAATGAAATTTTTCATCACACGCCTACAATGACTCTCTTTGTCATCATCATCATCATCATCATCATCGTCCTCATCGTCACCATCATCATCATCATCAATAATAGCATCAATAACCCTAATAATAATAATAATAATAAAGAAGATTATTAAGCAGAAGTAGAACTTCAGATTTTTTTTATAAATCTTATACTTCTTCTCTTGCTCTCCATTTCTAGTATTTTGTCTCAATTCAATTACTCTCTCACCATTTCTCTCTCCTTTTTTTCCTCTCTTTCTCTCTCCCTCTCTTTCTCTCCCTCTTTCTCTCCCTCTCTCTTTCTCCCTCTCTCTCCCTCTCTCTCTCTCTCTCTCTCTTTCTCTTTACAAATCTCTTTCTCAATATTTCTCATAAAACTTCCTCAATCTTTTTGTTCTGTCTCTTTGAATGTCTTTCCTTCGCTGTTCTTCACCATTCTCTCTCTCTCTCTCTCTCTCTCTCTCTCTCTCTCTCTCTTGTTCTCTATTTTGCCCTCTTTTTCTCCATATTTCTTTCTCTCTTTCTCTCTCTCTCTCTCTTTTTCATTTTTCATCAACATCTTTCTCCTTGCTAAGATTCTCATTCAACGACGAGCAATTTATATTGTTCAATCCTCTGGTTGGTTAGTTTGTAGGCTAGCTGACAATGCCGCATTCTTGCAAACGTATTTGTTGTTTATGGTTAATTATTATTATTATTATTATTATTATTATCGTTATTATTATTGTTATTATGATTATTATTATTATTATTTGCGGTTATTGTTCAAGCGATTGTTTATAGAAAAATAATAATAATGAGTAGTGGTTGTAGTAATAGTAGCAGTAGCAGTAGTAGCAGCAGTTGTAGTAGCAGTAGCAGCAGTAGTAGCAGCAGCAAAAGTAGTAGTAGCAAAAGCAATTTTTGCAAAACTCACAATTTGAAATCGTCAATTTCCTGAGTATAATCTTATTTAGTAGTATCGTAGTAGAGGAACAAGCTCCAAAATTATGCTGTCGTAATGAACTTTATAACATAGAAAAAATAAATATAATATAGTTATTGTTATATAATATAGTTATAATATAATATAGTTATTGTTATATAATATAGTTATAATATAATATAGTTATTGTTATATAATATAGTTATAATATAATATAGTTATTGTTATATAATATAGTTATAATATAACATAGTTATTGTTATATAATATAGTTATAATATAATATAGTTATTGTTAACATAGTAAACAAATGCAGTATCAATAAAATTATCCATATGGGATAACTCAGTGAAAATGAACTGCAGCAGATGTAGAGGTATTAGGATAGTGATGGGTGGTGTTAAACAAACTGGAATTATTGTGGGTATCCCCTTTTTCAACCTGCTCAGGGATCAGCCCCAGCAGGGCCATAAAGATAAAGCCCCCAATCATGGCGAAGATGTTGAAGAGAGATGATTTGCCGGAGCCTAATTCCTGGAAGAGGATCTCGAAGAATGTTACATAGATGAAAGTCCCTGCAAGATGGTTGTTGCATTGTGGCTTTTTGAGTTTTTTTTTGATATGTCAGTAAATTATGAGCAAATGAGTTGAATAACTTTGAAAAAATTCTAAAATGATCTCTAACTAACCACAAGCTAGGGCCTGTAGAACTCCATTAACTGTGTTCTGCCCGATGTCATGTTCCGTACCTCCAGTCTCACTGATCGCCAATCCGATTATGATGCCACCAGGTCCTATGATGCAGGCAACCAGCAAGATGACGAACACTTTCTTCGTCAGTTTCTTATCAGTTTTGTAGAACTGGAGGCCCATGCTGAAGCAGATGGCTATCTCATGACACATGACGGCGATTGTGAGGTGCCAGACGTTACTGACGCTCATCTGAAGGCCGATTGAGAGGCCCTCGAAGAGGTGGTGCAATGATAGGGCCAGTACCAAGACAATTGATCGCGTGACATGGCTGTGGTTGTGGGCTTCTTCTGTGTCATCGTCGTCGTCTTCATCGTCGTGGTGGTGGTGGTGGTGATGTGAGTGTGAATGGTAATCACGAGATTTTTCAGAGCCTGCTGTTGCATTTTGACTATCGACCAGGAAGGCATCACTAGAAGAGCTTGCAGCCGGGTGTTTGTGGCTGCGAACTGCCTGCGCTCCAATGCCGATGATGACGTTGCTGTTCATTTGAGAGGCGCCCCCATCTAGCGAGAATGAAGTCCACTTCACGTTTGATTCATCTTCTGGTTTGTTCTCAATTTTTTCAAGATTCTCATCAAAGATATCGTCACCGCTTGTTTCATTTTCTTCAATTGTCGGACAATTTTGAACCGCAGAATCTTTAGTCTTGCCGACTGTTTGCTCACGAATTTCATTTTTAGCCCGTTCGTTCATCAATCTTCGCCTCTCTGCCTTCTTCCTCTTCAGCCTCCATCCTCGGTACGCCGTGACAGCCTCATCGAATGTCAGCACCAGAAAGAAACCCGCGCCTATGATGATTTCCGCAACCGGGTAGATGTTTTTGGCGGCGATTTCAATGGAAGAATTGATGATGAGTTTAACTTCTGGCAGCATGTGCAGAAGGAAGGTTCCAAAAAACACCCCCCCTCCAAAACACATTAAAATACCAAGGATTTGTTCGTTTTTCTTTTGCCTTTTGAGCTTAGCTTTAGCTTTTTTGAAGTTTTGATTGTCTGCATGTTTGATGTTGTTGTTGGTGGTGGGGCTGGTGTTGGTTATGGTGATTTTTAAATTGTCGTTGCCATTATTTCGAACAATTTCAAGACCCTGTTCATTTATTTCTTCAACCATCTGCCCTGCTGCTGTTGCTGCTGCTGCTGTAGGAATGGCGTCGACGTCGGTCGAACCAAACCCAACGACTCCCGATCCGGTCGGTTCGAATCCTGAGTTACAATAAAACCTAACCTCTTCTACCTCGTCGA